TTTATTTATTATTTTGAGTATAAAATTCGTAAACTTCGTCAATTTCTTATCTAATCAGTTGAAACTCCAAGATTACAGATACAAGGAATCATATAACTAAGCTGTATCTACTAATATTGTATTATATTTGCATCTACTCCATATTTAAACATTTCTACCAAATAGATTTCATGCATTGAAGTAAGCTTTTTCATGCCTTAAAGTGTATTGGAAGTTTGCTTGGGCAAAAGCAGCGAGATTTCAAATTTGAACATTTTTTAAAGTCTCATCGCTTTGGGGCATAGACGGACGGGGGTCAAGCAGTCAGGCAGGCAGCCAGGCACTCAGTTAGGCAGGCACTCAGGCTATGTGGCGCCCGCATTGGGGCAGCTGGCGGTCTGTGCGTGACAGACGTTACTCTGCTCCGCCTGTCACACGCTGCTCGCCGCTTTGCTTTGTCTTACGCGTAATCTTGCCATCTCGCTCTGCCCTGTTGTAGCTGCTGGCCATGGGCATTGCGTCTGACTGTCGCGCTGCCCCACTGTCTGTCTCTCTCTCTCTCTCTCTCTCTCACTGTCTGTCTGTCTGTCAGCCAACAAGTTAGTCATTTGCTGTATCAAAAATAAAACGCAAATAAAAAACTTTTACGACATATTTATCTTTTCTGGCGCAACTCTCGACCGTTCTGACTGCCTGACTTTCCGTAGGTGAGATGTGCGTACGTGTGTATTTGAGCAGAAATATATTTGAAGGTGCATAACAGAGCAGAAACCGAAGCAGAAGAATAAGAAATATCAGCACACATGCTTATACACACACACACACACACACACACACACACACACACACACACACACACACACACACACACGCTAGCTCAGTCAACTGTGTGATGTATCGTTTGGTTTTACATGGTCAGCCCAAGTGTTGCAAAAGTCAGATTCGATTTGTCACCATCAACATAATGAAAAACAATCAGTAAAATGCCAGACGGCAATTGTAGATTGATATTGATTTAGCTGAGCCAAGCTGCATGTCGTTTTGCACAGACAGCACATGACAGTGCCTGCCGAAGATTGGGTAAACACTTTGAGAATCGCCGAGAAAGGTGTGGTGGGGGCAAACGAAATAAACACACCTACACATTCTGTAGTTGCCAACTACTATATAATGCATTCTAACTGGCAGCATGGATTAAGCAAACAAATGCAAGTGCAGCGAAACACTTTCAAATAAACATAAATATTATAGGATTTGCACAAAAATTAACTAATTAGAAATAAATAAATATTTGCCAAGACGTTGCACATCTGTAAGTATGTATTGTGTAAAGCTAAAGTCCCAATTAAATAAATATGAAATGTCCACAAAATCTATTTAAGTTTTATGACAGTCGTTAACATTTCTGTATATATATCGATATGAAATTGCACAAACAAGCAAACAGACTGCGCACTTGAAGAGCTTGAATAGGGATTTAACTAGGCGAAAAAAATTGTTGAATACCTTTTGTTCTTCAAGTATTTTCTTTATGAAATTTGTGTATTTGTGCAAATTGAGTTCAGTTTTTATTTTCCGATGGATTGGAGGATGTATCGTGCATCCAATATTTTTATTGTCCATAATTCAAAGTATCCAGCTTCAGTTGCTTTCAAATTATGTCCAATAAGCGAATTCATAGTTGATTGATTTTTGTTCAATAATTTTTTTTTTTTTTTATAATTAGATTTGTAGGGATATAAATTATAATATTCTAAGTTTTATACTTTACCAAGTGCCAAAGAGAAGAGCGAACTATGTTCTACAATTATTCAGCTAATCATTCTGATCAGTATTATATGTGCTTAATAGTTCTGCCACGCCTACTTTTGCTTTTTCTTATATACATGTTTACAACAAAAATTGCAATTTGAACTCATATTACTAATATTATCAATGAGTTCAAGGGAAATGAAAGGTCAGCCTACGTTTGCATAACAAACTATATGAACTCACCTTGCTTATGGCTTTGTTTCACCTACATACGTTCTTTCTAGGGGTTATGAGAATTGAATAGAAACGTCCCTTAAAAAAAAAGAACATTTAAATTATTTGAATTATATTTAAAAGTATGCTCGCTGGCATTCTAAGCACCATAAGTGGTTTTGTCTTAAGCTGTTGTCACATTATTAGCACCATATAAAAATGAATAAATTGTATTTAATAATTGTTTAGAGCTCGTGCTCCTTCTCTCCGTATGGCTCCCTCCTTCTCGCTTTCACTCACTTTATAGCTTCGATTCGTATTAAATCGCAGTTAAGCTTGTTGTTATCTTCCTCTCTTTCGTTTCGATTAAATTGTTTTTGTTTGTATGTCTTGTATTTTATTCTCCAAATCTTCTTGTACTGCCCTCCCAGCTTTCTGCTTGTGCTGGCACTGTTCCAAGTACCGCGGCCCAAAGTAGTGAGTGCGTTGAAAGTGTTTGCTCCTTTGCTCCGCTATTGCTTGCTCTTCCTGCAGCTTCACCTTGGGCACCACAAACTGCTCATAATACTCATCTGTAGTAGATGAATATATATATAGACAGAAATATATAAAGAGAGCAGGAGCTATGCTCACCCAATGTTAGATCCATTACATTTGTATTGAATACACAGTTGGCGTTTTTCGTGCCTCTAATAGAGGAGTTAAGATTAGGCAGATCAGGACGAACATGCTGTTTGTAATATTCATCTGAGGGCAAAGATGAGATAGGTTATATATTGCATATGTACATATAGTGACTACTTACCTAATGGTAGTTCGAGTTTTCTAGAGTTTAACACTTTAAAACGCTCATCACTTGCTTTTTCAGCCATTTGAAAGCCTCTTTCAACTTTTTCAAGAAATTTTAATCGAACTTTATTCAATTCCAGTTGTAAAAACGTTTCAAGTTTAATGCGTAGCAAACTAGATTTAACGTGTTTGGTGAGCTATAGAGTATAGAATTTAGAATATAGGATATAGAATAAATAGTACATATAACATAGAATAATAATTGTTTTTTGCATTATATTCATTTATTTCCCAGCTAAATCAAATGGTTCTCAAAAGCACATTTAACTGGACTTTTAATGTAGGCTCTTAGTCTACCGAAAATCCCTGACTATAGCACATGTTTCAATTGTAAGAACTTGGGACTTAGCCAGCATATATTTTACTTATCCGAAACTCTAAGCTGACTTAAATAACTCGACTTAGGACTTGATTTTCCACTCTCCACTCTCGACTCCCGATTCTCTTCCCGTCTTTTTTGTAGTGCCTATCAGTAAAGGAATGTACTATATATATACACGTTTCTTTTCGGGGGTCTCTACTTTTATGGCGCCTCGTAATGTGCGCAGAGGTACCCAAACCATCGAAGCCTTAAAGCTCAACAATCGTGCTAATGGGCCGTGCTCGTCGACGTCGTCCTTGTCAGAGTTCCAGCAGTTGTCGCCCGGCTCCCTCGTCGTCCTCCACGTCCTCGACGTCGTCGGCGTCGTCAACGTCGTCTGGTGTGCCAAAGTTTTTATTTGTTATTATATACTTTGGCGTGTCAAATAAACATCACACATCTACGTACATGAAACATGTTTTATATGCCAGCGCTCTATGAATGTTCTATATGTGTGTGTGCATGCACGTATGTGTGTGTGTGTGTTAAGTGTGAGTGTTCGAGCTTCTACGTGCTGTGGTTGCGCACTTCTTTTTTTGTTTTGTTCAAGTTAGAGGCATTTGAATGCGAATATGTAAGAGTATAACTGTGTGTGTGTGTGTGTGTGTGCGATTGTGTGTATTGGAGTGTGAGTGCTTTTGCTCGTGTGTGACTGCGACTCATTTGCATGAATTGTCGCAAGCTTTTAGGTGAACTTCACCCTAAGTCGGGCTGAGGAGTTGCTCATAAAGCGACAATGTGTGAGCACAGTGACATGCAAGTGCTTGAACGAGTTATGAAAATATGTCAAACGACAGTTTTTAATGATGATTATAGATAATTGAAATCTAATTGATCATGACTATGAAATAAACACCCATTCTGGCTTTTATTTTATTTAAATTTTTATTTTTTTTTTATTTTATTCTTTTCATAATATTTAGTTTTATTTTTCAGATAATATTTTTCTTTTTAGGAATAATAACGTAGTCAGCTATCTATTTAGTCATTAGACACTAAAAGTGAGTTGTAAAAGTTAAGATACCTGTCTTTAAATTTTTATTTTTTTTTTTTTTTTTTTTTTAAACCTTTAATCCACCAAAACTAAATTCATTAAACAAGGAATTAAGAAATTAGTTAATTAAACACTCACAACATAAGAGATCAGTTGTATTAAACAAGCATGTCCCATAG